AACCTATTTTTAACCCCATCTTCAGGTAATTATATTCTTTACAAGCTTTTGTCATAACAAAACTATTTATATTTTTTGATTTAGGCAATCTGAATTATCCACAAACCTTTGTCAGAGGACTTTATTAGCCAAATGATATTACTCCCTATATCCATACCTTGGTCTATCAAATTCCAGAGTTTCTAAATCTTCATTCAAATTTTGGTTTAATTGGCTTTTTCTGTTCTGCGGTCGAGAAGAAAAATTATCAACATGTTGTACATTTTTTTTGAAAAACTTTAAAAGATGGTGGAGGTGAAAATATAAACAAATTGGCTATTATTGAAATTATGGAATGGGAAAACAAAAATTTATATTTCTTTTCACATGATGTACCTGTTTTTTTTGAAAAGATTACAACTATCAATGTTAAAGATATGCAATAATGCAAAAGTCGATCTTTAAGATTAATAAATTTATGTGTATAATTACTTCAAGCGCATATACAGTACTATTATTTATTTGTTATATAAAAAATATTTACTTCTATAATATCATATAAACTAATAATAATTTGGTAAGCGCAAAGCTCATTATTTTTTTACGCCAGTTACTATAAATCAAAGGATGATAGTGCTGTAAGATTACTAGTTGGCAAAATACCATATTAAAGTAATAAATAAAAAGAAATATTTAATAGTTTTTTATTTATTATGGTCTTTGAAGAGATCGAAATATAGAGAATATAGAGCGATGTCTTAATTCTATTAATTTTGGAATTTACAAATGATCACAATAGTGCTCAACGATAATTCAGTAATTATATTTATCGTACGGGTCATACGGGTCTTATGTAACAACTCGTGCATTTTTGAAAGTTATTCTACGGGCATATATGAAAATATATACCTGTGTGAATGAACTATATTTCATAAAAGGTAAAACTGAATTTTCACTTTTGTTAAATGAAGACTAACATTTTAATCCGATGGTTTTAAAATTCTCATGGTAGTTTTTAAAATTATTACAGTGGGTAAAAACTCTGGTTTTTAAATTCTTATAGCAGAGCGAAGACTATATTTTGTCTGGTTATTTTTAAGATCCGCATACTATATTTTAGTCGAATTTTTTTAAAATCATCATAGCTGGTGAAAAACTTTATTTAGTCAAGTTATTTTAAAACTTTTTAGACTATATTGGTCAAACGATTTTTAAAGTTTTTATAACCGTGTTTTTTTTGGGGGTTTTTTATCAGATATAAACCACATGTAATGCCTTCAGACAGAACTCGTGGTGTTTATATACTTTACATGTCAATCACGACATTTTTTGTGGATTATTTGTTATGAGTAATTCAACTAGTTCATTATTCTCTGTGACTTGAATTCATTATTAAGAGAATGAAGTTATAATAAAATAAAATCTTCAATCTATATTGATACGAATGCAATTCCATAACTCCATGATATAGTACCATCTATTCTTATTGATAAGACGAAAAACAGGATTATAAGAATAATCAGAATTGAAAGTATTGCATAATGGTCCTTGAATTTCCGGAAACCAGCTATAGAATCCAACATGTTAATTCCGATCTCTCTATATTTAACATACACTTGATGTTTTTTTTTTGGATCGCCCAAGATTTTATAAGTATGAGTAATCACGCCTTGAATTTTTTTTTAATAAAAGATAAAATAAGTTAAAAAATAAAATAAAATATTTTAACACATTTAAAAGTACAATGATACTTGTAAGATTTAATACCTTAGTCCTAATCAGTAGAGGATTAATAAAGTACGAACCTGATCGGTAGCATTTGGATTTCTATCTGGGTGGTATCTTAGTTCTAGGCTCTTCTTCAGTAGTAGTTTTTGTACACCTAAAGCATAATATAAAGTGTAAGTATCCCACTCCATATTGCCAAAAATTTGATGTTTTTCATATGGAGTGGCACAAGTTGTTTTAATTAAGAAGATACGAGGAACAGCTGCCTATTATAGAAACTTTGCAGCTGTATTTTTTACAGGCTTACCAACGTAGACAGACTAATTATGTGAATTGAGAAAATGAAATGAATAGAGCGAATGCAGAAAAATTAATGAGAAATATTAGTATTATTGGCATTATTAAAAGTTTTTTTCTTTAAAATATAAAAATGAATAATGAATTTGATCTACCTATTGTTCATTTTCTCAACTTTCAATAATCATTTAATAATGGTTCTCCAACAAGTCTTAAGTAAAATGCTCCAAGAGCTCTTAAATACCTGCATAAAATACATCAAAAATTATGTTGGAATCTATTTTAATAAATTTTATAATAATTTCTTTACCCAGTTGTAAGTGTAGTAATTTCAGAGTTAAACAAAGAAACTCTGTTAGTTTTTGGAACAAGGTTAACACAACTGCTCTATCGATTAAAATTTCAGCTATTTTTCATAAAAAATTAGTACTAGTAACTCGATTTAATTAGATAAGCAAATTATATAAAATATAAGACCTGTTAAATCAAAACATGATTCTTTCTAATAAAGAGATTCATAGATCCTTGTTCTAATAATTTTTTCGTGATTTTATACTTATAATTTGAATTACTTATTTTAAAATTTAATAAAAGGGTGTTCGAACTTATTTATTTAAATAAAAAAAGGTATTCTTATTTAAAATAAAATTGAGCAATATTAAACCGAATAAAAAAATAGCCAGCACCTGATATATGATTTGCTACATCTATAATTTCTTTGCATTCCCATCGAATTTCTAAATATTTAGTTTTTTTATTTTCTGATCCATTTAAAATTACCCAGGTTTGTTGGTTGTTTTTATATTCTCGAATCCCCCACTTTTCATCACTGAAAATTTGTTCTAACTTTTCATAAACATTAGTTCCTATAAAGATACATTGATACCATCCACAGCTTGGTGAATATCGGTTAATATATCCATTAAATATACCAATAAATTGACTTTCTAGATATGGAATTGTGACTAATTGTCATCCTGCTTCCCGTACACTAGTTTTTAATTTGGTTTGTATCATATGAACTAGCAGGCATTTAAATTCAATAATTGCTTCTGGTAGTTGTAGAATAAGTCCAACTTGTGGTGTATTATAATGCGAATGAGCTATTGTTTCATGATGATTTAAGCCTTTTTGGGTATTGTAGCTTTTTTTAGGACATAGCTTACAAAATATACATGTGGAATCAGAAGTGGGTATTTGAATAGAGTTATTATCCTTAACTTGATGAGTTCTTTGCCAATGTAATTGTAAACCTCTATTATTTTTAAAAGTTTTGTGCTGGCATAGTGAATACAAAATCTGCGTTATGATTACTAGTACATATGTATGCATGTTGTAACATTTCAATATTGTTTTGGTGACCTAAATTTGATTATTTATAATAATTTGAGTGACCTAAAAAAGGGCCAATTCCACAAATTGGCCGATATGTATCACTGATCTGTGATAAATTCTTGCGTAATGCTGATTCCGGAATTTATCGGATTTACTTTCACCAGGAAATTTTTAGGAAATTGAATATTTTTTTATTGCAGTATTAGTGTTTTTTGGAGTCATTTATTGGTGTGATTCCATCATTTCACTGTCATTTGTATTGTTGCTACAGTTTCTTTTAGCCTTTTCAAACTAACCTATCCTTCACCATATACTTATTTTACCACAGTAATAAATTGGTTCTGTAACATAAAAATTTTTTACATTACATCACGATAATTTCGATACAAGCCTCATTCAATGCGTATGGTCCCGATTCTAACTACCCAGCACTGCAATTTCCTGAGAACTTGATCAGCCTATAACAGTACATATATAT